ATAAAATGAAATCACTGATTATAGACACTGGTTAGGATTTTTAATTAGCATTAAGAACTTAGATTTAGATTGATCAATACTTAAATTTGTCAAGAAAGTTAGCTTGGGGCCAACATGTAATCCATTGACAAATCCCTTTCAAGCCCATTGTTTATCTTATATTGCACCCATATGGACCCCATGTGGGATCAGGAACACATAGATGTTGGGATCTGGAGTTGTTCCACCTTTCCCCAGCAGAGTGTGCTGTGGGTTCTCTGGGCTGGAGCTCACCAGCACACCTGGAGCTCGTCAGCCCATTAGAGGACCCTCTACTTAAAGGAATAGTACACCCAAAACATGATTAGCCTTCATTTTCTACTCACCCCCATGCTGAACAACACTCTGGAGTACTTTTTTGATATCTCAAATGCATCTGGAGATCTGGGAGGCTTCTTGCTGTCTGCTGACATTCAAATAATGGAGGTCTATTGTGCCCGAGACAGAAAGGTCCATAAAAGTCCACAAAAACTTGTCAATATTCCTCCATACTGGTCGTCCAATGTATTCCAAGTGTCCTGAGTGGGTAGCATCCAGAATTTACTCGAAACGAAGTCATTTAGAATGTTTTTAGAGCATAAACAGTAGTGTATAGGATTTCCTGAAAGTGTGCACATGCGCGATCCCGACGCTACGGAAGCCGGCAGACCAAACCAGCGCATTCAGCTCGGCAAATAACTCATGCTCTTCCTCAACACTGAAGTCCTCAGACATTTTTCTTTCGTTGTTTCTTTCTTTGCACAGGTAAACGGCACATTTCTTCTTCTACGCTTGCATTATTGGAAGAGCAGACTCTGAATGCGCACTTTCATCTGGTTTGGTCTGCCGGCTTCCGAAGCGTCGTGATCGTGCATGTGCGCGCTTTCAGGAAATCCTATACACTACTGTTTATGCTCTAAAAACATTCTAAATGACTTCGTTTCGAGTAAATTCTGGATGCTACCCACTCAGGACACTTGGAATACATTGGACGACCAGTATGGAGGAATATTGACACGTTTTTTGTGCACTTTTATGGACCTTTCTGTCTCGGGCACCATAGACCTCCATTATTTGAATGTCAGCAGACAGCAAGAAGCCTCCCAGATCTCCAGATGCATTTGAGATATCAAAAAAGTACTCCAGGGTGTTGTTCAGCATGGGGGTGAGTAGAAAATGAAGGCTAATCATGTTTTGGGTGTACTATTCCTTTAAGCAGATGCCAGACCTTTCTTCGACGCCGGAGTGTTAGCTAAGTTTGGTTAGCGAACCTGAGCCTCCTCGTTTTTGAATTTTGTCCCCTAGAGAAAACTTAATTCTAACCAGCCTTTGTCTTGTCGCTCCTAGGAAAACCTGTCTCTCGTGTGAAGCTCTGGGAGAGCTTAACCTGCATCTGCCTGCCTGCCCTAGAGAGCCAAACCTGAAGATCTCACTTTGGAATCCACCTGCTGCTCTCGGAAGGAGAGCTAACCCCTCAATCCAAGGTCTGATCCAACAGTCAGAAGTTAGATGCTGCACTTGCTGAACACTCTGTCAAGCCAACAGTCTCTGGACCCAACCGGTTCCCCCCCTCTGAGTAGAAAGCCTGAAACTCTCCAAGGTATAGTCTGCAACAATCTGAAAATTAAACAACGCTTCCAATCCACCTGGTTAACCAAACTGTCATCTCTGCAGACGCATGATAATCCAGCCCGGACCTGTTTCCTGAACAGTCTTATTTTGTGCAAACATTTAATAAACTCTGTTAAACTTTTCATCCGTCTCCTGGTAGTGTTCTGCATGTGGGTTTGATTCAGAACCAATCATGATAATAGAAAGGAGAACAAGCCCTAAAACATCAAAATCAACTATGAATCAGATTTAAATTTACATTATTTAAATGTTACATTTTCTTCTTTGGAGAACACGGCCATATGATGCACTGTAGGAGAGAAGGGAAAATATTGGTAACAGATTGATAATCAGAACAATGTTCTGCTGAAGGCTTGCGCTCTGCTGTTTAGATGATAACCATGTCAAGTCTGCCTTTAATGTACAGAGAGTGTATTCCCTGGCAGCAGGGGAATACACTCGGGGATCTCTGTCTGCAGAACAACACAGAGGGAGGAGAATCACTTGTGTTACTACAACCTAAGTTCTGTAGATTTTAAACAGAATAAGCATTTTTGGACGAACAAACTACTTTTACTAAGATGTGAAACCAAACGCAGACAGAAACCAAACCCCATGAGAATATTCCCGATTGGTTTAAATCACCAAAAAATAACGGTCACATCTGTGTTCAGTGTGTTAGTTGACCTTTCTTTAAGGTTGATTTGAAAAGATTTCTTCATATCTCTGTGGTGTTGCTATTGGTGGTTGATAATTTGGTTTGACTCCTGACCTCTCCTGCTCGTCTTCCTCTTTTCTTTCTGCCAGTTTTCTGTCTGAAACACTATAAGTAAGGGCCACTGGTGCTTCAGGGATCTTTATCTGCAAACCAATCAAAGTGTCTGACTGAGATTGATTTTTTTTTATTAATTATTCATTATTACACTGACAAAGCCAATCAAAAGATACATCCATGAATACTGACGCCTCACTCAGTGTTTTTTTTATTGCTTAAATTACATTGTTTATTCATGAATGTATTGATTGTTTCAAGACACTCTTATACTGGAGTATTGAAATATAAGATTGTTGTCAGTATGCGGCCCCCACCCCCACCCTCTTAACCACAGCCAGCTTGTAGCTAAGCTTGACGCCTTCATAAAGACATCCTATATAAATCCTTCAGCGTTCATTAGGTTATAGTCAGGAGAAAAGATGCACAGCTGTGCTCCGACAGGAAGGCTTGTTAAATGAAGAAGGTCGTCTTGTGTCTGTGAAGATGCCTTTACTCCATCTGCTAACAGAGGGAAGATCCACAGGATTCATGCATATATCATCGACCTTAAAATATAACCGTATAAAGCGCCTTGAATTACATGTTGATACCCCCTGGAGTGGGATCTGAAACCTCAATGTATTCTATAAACTAAGAGAGCAAATATGTATGGGTAGATCGGAAAAAAAGTAGTTTTTAATATTAATTTCCAATTTAAATCTTGAAAAGGTTGTAAACATATTAATTTATCCCCTCGTTTTATGATGATACCCCTAAATACAATATATTGAAGTCTAATATCTTAACAAGTAGCTTTATAATTAAAATCTGTCTAATTCAGTAATCACTGTTTATTTTAATCTGTTTTATGGAGGAATCAGGGGCTTCTTAGGGAACATTATTGAAAAAAAACAGCAGCCAGAAAAACAGGCCTTAACACAGACACGTCTAATAGATAGATGTGGAGATGTTTAAGGAGGGTAAGGTTATAAAACAACCTCGTTTAAACAGTTCCTTAGAAGATTGAGGAGTGTGACTACAAACCTACCAACACACTAACTACCAAAACTAATAGGATTCAGCATTAATCTGTAAGTATAAGAAGAACACAAGAGGTCCAATGTCATTCTAGAAAGGTGGGAGAATCTATTGACAGAACAGCTTGAAACACGTAGGCGGCAGCATCAGCCTGAGGGCATGCTTTTCTTCAACAAGGTATAGAGTATGAGTAAATAGGAGGATGGAAGAAGCTTAGTGCCAGTAGCAGGTAGAGTATAACATGGCAGTAGCCGGATTGTTAGGTGTAGACCTGAGTTAAGTTCCACGTTATCAATCTGGGATTGCTGCAGTTCAGTCTGTCCATGAAAAGGAGGGATGTTAAGTACAAATCTTTGAGCTGATTGGGTGATATGCCAGCTAGTACCGACCTTCCATAATATGCTTTCAGCCAATCGTAGCAGCGAATCATGACGTTTTCAACTTTTTTTCCAAATCATGTCAGAATAAAAGCACCGAAATCTTTCTCATTTAAAAATGCCCAAAGTGCTTCTCTTTGCTCCATATTTTAACAACAAATTGTCGCTATTTTAGCTAAAACATAGTCAATTTGCGGTATCAACAGTTGAGTCCTCCAGCGTAGCCATGTTTGTAACTCCCCGGAAAGGCCCTTCTGACTGTCTTCATTCCTGCATGTCCCACCCCCAAAAACACTGCTGGCACGTCATTGGTCAGACCTGCTGGTGGTTACGAGATGGGTATATTAGCGGAGTCTTTCAAGATGAATTTGTTGTGAGACTGAAAACTCTCGTAACAATCCAGCTTGCAGAGCAAGGTTAGGTAGAGTAGCCAACTAGCCTACTAGCTGACTAGCAACATTAAATTTTAAATTTTTTTTTTTTTACTCAAGCAAAAGTAGAAAGTACTCATCCAAGTAATTCCTCAATTAAGAGTAAATAATAGCAACTGAACTCATGTACTAAGGAGTTAATGACTCATCGCATCCGATTTAACATCTATAGAGATTTTATCTGACAGAATGTTTTATGCAAATTCTAGGATTTAAAACTGTAATATGAAGATGCAAATAAATAAGAGGATTTCAAGAAACACTTTTTAAAATCAGCCTATTTAGACAATCTTTATAGTAGGTAATGCATATAGGAATAAAGAAATTCTTGCTGTATTACCTACTGTTTACTGATCTCCATGAAGCTCAAGTTACTCAAGGTGGGCAGAGAAACCAGAAAACTTAATCAATAATACTCACAACAAAACCCTCAAGCAAAACTAAAAAAGTACAGAGATGTACAACTACTAAGTTTTTGTTTGTTTTTTTAAGTTACTTAAGTAGATATGTATACATGCAATTAGTTTCTGCCCAGCCTTACTGTGTATCCTGTCTGACTGAGGTTGACAAATTTAATCATTGTCCAAACCCCTTGAAGCTTTAATTGTATCAATCAGGAAGTCTACAAGGTGTTGCCAGGTCACTGTATGGTAAAATATTTGGAAAGAATTACTTGTTTTCTGTCATCTCAGGTATAACAATTATAAAAGCTAAGTTGTTTTTGTTGAGTTTTTTTTTACCAGTAAAACTCTTCGTTTCATCGTTTCTTACCTAAACTCTGGTGCAGAGTTGCTCTTCAGACCATAAAAAACAGCAGACAAGGTGAGCAGCCAATATGGCACAAAAGTCCCATGTTCACACTCCAGGTAAGGCGCGGACCATCTGATCTGGTTCTTGCTCAGGAGATAACTTCCACTGTTGGGGCCCGATCCATCAGGGGCTCCTCCGCGCGCCTGAGGTCTCCTCCCGTCCCTGAAGTCATGGAACCAGTCAGACTCCGGGCTCCTGTTGTTCAGGTGACGGCGCGCTGACCCAGACAGGTCCTGCAGCACCACCTCATTTCCAGTCCTGGTCGCCTGGAGAAAAACATGAGGTCCGGGGGTCGAGGCGTCCGTGTGCAGGGTCACCACTGCCCTGTGGATTTTCGGATCCCCCTCCAGGATGCTTTGAACCAGCGCGTGGTACCAGTGGATGTCCCTGTGGAAGGTTCGCTCGCGGGACCTGTTAGTTTGCAGGATCATGTTGAGGAAGTTGGTGGCGTGAGCCACCGTGTCCAGGACGCTGTGCAGGGAGTAATGAGAGGCGACGTGGAGGCCGCCACGCAGACTGCTCAGCTCATACCTCCGGGAGCAGTTGACCTGCCTCAGAGCGGAGGAGTCCCCGGTGTGCAGGAAAGCCGTCACCACCCTGGGAAGGTCCTCCTCTATTTTGTGCGCCACCACCGTGCGCTCTGTCGGCTGTAGCGGGTACGAGGTGGGCTGGAGGGGCGGCTCCCGCTTGATGCTCTGCGTGCTAAACACTGGCGGGTTTTTCTCGTCTCTGTCGTTTTCCGACCATTCCACGTATCCATAATTTGATCCCAAAACGAGTCCTGTTTGCAGAAGCAGCGGGAGGAGGATCAGAGCCATGGTGGTTCCTCACAGGCTCAGAGGGGACACCGCGGGCACCTGGCAAACTGCGCTCATCGCCAAAGCTCCTCTAGGTGCTGCGATTAGGGATACTTTGTCAAACACGAGGACAGCAGTTCCTGAATTTCATAGTCATGATGTCTTCTAAAGCGAAAGGAATCCCCCCCACTTCTGATCGGGGTTACAGGAAAAGCGCAGACTTTCAACAATCAGCGGTCCAAAAACATCCTCGATCTTCTCTCCTGGTCTAAACTCACTCACAGGCTGGAGCTGCTGCTTCTCTCCCTGCTGCTGATGAGCAAACCAACCGAGGAGCAGGATACCAATAAAACGTTCTTGAACTTCATTCCCTCCCAAATAAAACCTCAACAGGCAACACGAAGAGTCGCCCACAGAGTGTGCATGAGTAAATGTGTGTGGTTGTTTCTAAGTGGGAGTCTGCAGGGAGTGGGCGGGGCGTGGGAACAACGGGAGCTGTCCGGTGCTGAAAGTAGCCGGAGGAAAACGGGTTGAGAGATGTTGGTGGAGAAGGAGAGACCTGAGGGACTGGGAAGGAAGCGCAAACTGGGAACAAGAATTTATCTAAAAGCGGAATAAAGCAGGGGAGGGGGATTAGATTCAAGCAAGTGCTCAAAAAAGCACAACAGAACGGTGCGTGGTAAGCTTTTATGTCATTTGCTCTCTATTTTCCATACTTCAAATAGCAATCGCTCAGTGACAATAATACAGTTTATTTTAAGTTACAGTAGAGCATCGGTTCTAAGCAACTAATAAAAAAAAGAGTACAAAATCAAACTGCAGAATTTATAAATGTGATAAAATCGACTTTCAACTTCAAATTTTGTATTTATAATTCAATTTATGTCACCTTGAGCATTTATCTCGGAAGAAAGAGCTTTGTGTAAAATGTAAAGAAGGGCTTTCAAAAAAAATTTCACTTTAAGTTGACACTATTAGTCCATTTCTTTCGGCTGTTTTTCAGGTGAGGTCAACATTTAAATGATAGTAGTTTTGAATGAGCTGTAAATCCAGAGTAGCATTCAGTCGTTTGATAAAGTGAAAAAGTTAAGAACAATGAAGAAAATATTTCACGCTGTTATTTTATGGAATTCTAACTGTTATCAGATTTAGAGTATTAAGCAAGTAAGTAAGTAATGTTTATTTATATATATAGCACTTTTCACAGACATAGAGGTCACAAAGTGCTTCACAAAATTACAATGCGCATAAAATAAATTTACAGTCACAAAAGACATGATCATAAAACAACCCTTAATCTACTAGAATTAAAAATGCTTTCTTAAACAAATAGGTTTTCAGGTCCCTCTTAAAAACCTAAATAGAATAGAGTAGGCGCAAGGAAAGCGGAAGATTGTTCCAGAGGGCCGGCGTCGGCGTCACCGCCTGAAAGGAGCGATCTCCCTTGGTCCTGTAACAAGTACGAGGGACCATGTGGTCCCTGAAGGTTTTTTAAACTGGAACTGAAAAGAGACTGGGAGCCAATGAAGAGGTTTTAGGATCGGTGTATTATGAGCCCTTCTGTTTGTACCAGTCAGTAACCTCACTGCAGAGTTCTGAACCTGCTGAAGACGAGACTACTCTTTTTTGTTTAGACATGAGAATAGACTGTTATAGTAGTCTAAACGGGAAGACACAAAGGCGTGGATAATCTTTTCAAGATCTTCTCTGTCACAATTGATCTAAGTTTATACATTTCCCTCAGTTGGTAAAAGCAGTTACTTGTCATCAGGTTTAAGTGGAGATCTACGGATAATGTTTTGTCAAAAATGACGCCTGGGTTTCTAAGGCTCGTTTTAGCAGACAAACTCAAGTCGTCCAGATACTGGTGAATACCTGGAATAGCATCATCAGGGGCAATATCCCGCACCTTTGTTTTTTTTGAGTGTAGTTGCAGGGAATTTGTACCAAGCCATTGTTTAATGTGCACAAGACAATTCAGGAGAGACCTTAACTTCTGGATCTCTGAAGATTTAAAAGAGCAGTAAAGCTGGATATCATCAGCAAACAGATGAGGGACTGATAAGATCGCATATGTTTTGAAAACAATAACAGCTGAAATACAAGCATAGGCACCATCTTGCCTGATGAATCCATTCAATTTAAAGTGGTTTACCCTTTAACATGAATTCAATGATTACAATGTATAACTGTATTTTTTTGCAGTTACAGTAGTTTACTGGCAGCAGGGTTGCCAACAATGTAATGTTATTCTACAGGATTCTTACTGTTGACAGATTTACAGGTTACTGTTTAAACAAACAAATTGGTGATGCTTTGACCATTTAGTTTAAATTATGTTATTCTCATCAAACATTGCAATTCAGTTATGAACTATACCATGCAGCAAGATAATAAAAGCTTACGCTTGACATTTGAGGTAATTTATTTAACAAAAAGGACAACAAAAACAATTGGTAATACAAACAAATATTATTGACCTTTTATATGAAAAAATATAATTTCAAGACAAGAAAAGTTCCAATTAATTTTTCTTATTTGAAACTTGGGTTGCACACATAAAACTTTTATCATTAAATGAAAATAAAATATCCATTTAAATAGGAGTAGAAAAATAAAAAAATTTAAATGTTTTAAAGAGAAAATTACCCTCTGCTTGGAGGTTTCCTTGCAGAACTTTTCCAACCAAATCTTAAAATAGGCCTAATTTAAAAAAAATCTACTTTTGTATTAAAAGGTAAACCAAAAATATCACTAATTGGACTTGCCTTAATGTCAAATAGGAATGGATACACCAGAGAAATAATACAGTTACTTATCACTATTCTTTTCAAAGTAAGGTTGTTGTTTCCTAACCTTCTTCTGAGTAGTCAGCATTAAACAACATTAAGGCTCCGAATTTCCTCTAATGACACATCAAAGTCTGCTGAACATAAATTACAAGCAATTTAGATTACCAAAGTGACATTGTATACTTTCAGTTGCTGTGAGATGTGCTGCTTGCTTTTTGGCATCAACTACATCAGGGGTTGATAACATTGTATTTGAAACACAGTATTGGCATTATTGGACCTTTTCTGAGGGAAAAAATGTTATCAGATGTGCCAAGTATAGCTCTTCCTTTAGAGATATATAGATTAAAGAGTATAGCAATATCTACTTAAATAATACAAGTTACGTATGGGTTAGAATCTAAAGCTGGATCAAGCTTTTACTCTTGCTTCAGTGCAGAAACTTTCCTAGCCAAATTAAAGTTATTGAGCTTTAAAGAGCTGATTCATTACTTCCTAATGAAGTTGATTGAAAAAACATATCAGCTTTACTGTTTTCTACTAGAAGCAGCACACAACAAATCTAAATGTGTTAACAGAGATAACAGCCTTAAGTTCAGTTCAAATCAACATGCTGCTAAAACAGATTTTAACTATTTTTGAGCAGAACTTTTAAAAACATATATTTGGATAAGTCATTTTTATAAAACTAAATAATAGAAGATTATTTCATCTTAAGGCCTTTTTTTTAACATTGGGACTTAATATATTTGTTAAACAGCTTATGGTTTTTGAAGTTGGGCCAAAATGCAAAACATCTAAGCCAAAGCAGCTTGGTGGGTCTTAATGTTTCTATAATGAAAAAAAAAAAAAAAAAGTACAGTCTTGGTAAAATAAATAACTGCAGGTATAAATGTGGACAAACATGGCTTGATCAGTGAGAGCAGCTCGAAGCTAAAAAAAAAAATCATGGCCTCAACAGCAATTTCCAAATCTTTTTTAGATCTGAGCTTCACTGGGGTTTTTGTGCACACAAATAAATGTATTGTAATTGTAACCCTAGCAAAATATGAAGGGTGTTGCCTTAAGGTGAAAGTAATCCCCTCTTTCAAGTATTTTATATTTCCTAATCAGTTTCCTCCAGGCTTGTGCTGCATTCAACTACATCCATCTTTTATTACCTCTAACCAGTGTCCCAACTGTGTCTTGAGCTCGATGCCACCAACACCATGCTTTGCAGAATTAATCACCACGGTGGTGGGCCTCATCAGAGACAACAATGACCAGGACTACAGAGAGGTGGTGGAGCAGCTGGTGGGCTGGTGCAAAGATATCAACCTGATCCTGAATCTGGAGAAGACGAAGGAGATCATCGTCAGCTTCAGGAAGAACCGGCCAAATCATGCTTCACTGGTCATCAACAGCTCAGCTGTAGAGGTGGTCAACAGCACCAAATTCCTGGGGGCGAACATCACAGACACCCTAACCTGGACTGCAAACACCACCTTACTGGTCAAAAGGGCACAGAAGTGCTTGTACTTCCTGCAGAGGATCAGGAGAGCCCACCTGAACCCACCCATCCTCACGACCTTCTAGAGAAGCACCATAGAGAGCGTTCTGACCAGCTTTCTAACTGTTTGGTTTGGAGGCTGCAGCTCCTCAGACTGGTAGAAGAGATCATCGGAGCTCCTCTTCCCTCTATAAAAGACATTTAATCCCAGCGCTGCGTGTCCCGAGCCTGTAACGTTATCAATGACCCCTCACACCCCCACCATGGACTGTTCTCCCTGCTGCCCTCTGGGAAGAGACTTCGCAGCATCCACTGCAGGTCCAGCAGGTTCTATAACAGTTATTTCTCCACTGCCATCAGACTGTTGAATTATAAAAAAAAATAATAATAAATCAAGTCACAAATCGATACTCTGCATGACACTGATAACACCAATCCAAATAGAACTCAACTCAAAAATGTTTTTCCATTACATTTTTTTTTACCATATATTTGTTTTTGCACTGCTATGAACTTTTCCATCAATGCCTTTTGCACCATCTTTTTCTCCCACACTGTTTACATTCGATCCATTGCACTTTATGAAATGGAAATGTTCATTTCACTGTTAAACTGCTGCTGATTCTCTGTCTGAAAGCTGTACAAACCAAAATTTCGTTTTGTATACACTCTGTTTATACAAAATGACAAAAGTCGTCTAAGTGTAAGAATGGGCAGGATGTGCTTTCTGCCATGTGTGG